GATATATGAACAACATTATTAAAATTTTTATTGAGGTTATATCATAAATGTAGTTTCATTGGGGTTTTGTATATTGTTCTAGGAAAAAAGTTACTGTGGTAATATTCCGTATTGCCTTTAGCTTGCAGGAAACATAAGCAAAAATGCTACAGTACAACTTCATGTGAACTCCTACCTTCACAAAAATGAGTGGCAGTTGTCTGATCATCTACCTGGAAAAACTGTGTATCTAGCATGTGTTTTAATGTTAACTTGGCAGATTTGTGAAATACTTTCTGTACAAGTGATAGGTTCTATGTGGGTGGACCTTGGCATGTTTTTTAGACCTTTACCTTTAATAGATGCAATTCCAGGTGTAACAAATTACAGGCTTTAAGTCAATATCAGAAAGAGGTAGAAGGGTAAAAATAACATAAGCTAAGCAGTTAGATTGGCAGGCATGGTAGACTTCTGATGGGAACAGGGGGAGGGCAAGAGTGACAGCTCCTTCTACATCTAGTTAGTTCCACTTCTGAGATCACCAACAAGTGACTGGCTTCTCTGGTCAGCACTTCTGGTGCTTGGAGAAAAGGTACACATAGTGTGTTGTAGGATGCCAAATTTAATATTTATTGTTACATGCATGTAGAAAATGTAGAACTCAGAAATGTGCTTTCCCAGTCCAACATTTGAACAAATGCTGAGAAAACTGTATTGAGAGAAAGCATTACCCTGCAGGAACTACCTCTCTGGGAAAAAGGCGTGGGGTTAAAAAAAACAGTGACAAATGAGTATCATGTACCTTAAGACATTATTGGAGGAAGTACAGACCTTAGTGACCGGGGACACATCTAAATACTGAACTAAAATACAATGCACTAAACAGTGTGAGATATTAAAAATTAGTTGTTCTTAATGAGAGGAACGAATCTCTCTTAGCAGTAATGAAAAGATAATGCCAACTGCAAATACTACAAGCTGAAAGTGGTTAAGATCTGCAGTTTAGACAAATACTGATGGTCACCAAAACTTAATTTAACCAAAGCAAAGTCACCAAAACATCAAATACTATCAGCATCTAGTGATTTGACCAAAAAAGTAATGTTTTCCGTGGATGACAACTGGTACTTCTGCAAGCTGTTCTACGAGATTATGGCTGCTGTAAACTGTAGTCAACAGCTGATAATAGTAATATTGATTTTTTCCTTCCCCCTGCTCCCCAAGTTATCGGCTCTACTGCAGCCAAGCAATAGCACTATGAGAGGGGAAAAAAAATAAATCAATAATTCCTTGGTAGTTAGCAACACATTTTCTGTGAGTCTTTGAGCAGGATGTGCTGTGATAGGCTTATAATAAATATAGAACTGTGGCAGTTTTTCATAGAATTAGATACCAGCTCTCTATTTTCCATCCTTTTTTTTTTTTTTTTTTTAACTAGTCTTAAAAAGTTCAACTGCTTCTCTTGATCTATAAACTCTACACTGAAACATATTATAGCATGCCCTAATAGCTTGAGCAAACATCAGAAAGCTACCTTTGACTCCTGGCAGTTCTGTTTGATGTTGCTAGGCTGTCTGTAGCCTATGCACTGGAAATAATTGCTGCTGTGTTACTACTCTACCCAAACTTTTACTGTATTGATGCAGGTCCAGTTTACTAGCCTTTGTGATGAGCCATGCTAATTCAATGCCAGGTGTGCACTAAAACTGTGCAAAGCTATCCCTTTGGCTTTTAACCTGATTCTGTGTTTCAGGCAATTTTGGTGAAAAGGGGAGGAAAAAAACCCGTGTATGAGAATAGGAAGCAAAGGAATTGTACAAACAAAGGTTAAGAGGAAAACCCTAATTCCAGGAAGTTCTCCTTCAAATAGGAGCAGATGGGGGCCCATCTGGCCAGGCAGAAATGTGCCAGGCTGTGCATACTGAGAACAAGTCCATGCTCCAAGATCCACCTCCAGCCATGAGCAGTCTTGATACTAGGCTGGTTTATTCTGTAATTAATTAGGAGGGATGTGTTTCAAGAGAGAGGTTTGACAGAAGAATTAGGAAGGGAAGAAGGTGGTGGACACACCAGCTGCAACACAGTCAGGACAATCTCTGTGTGCAGCAATTTGTGCCATCAGCAGAAGCATTGGTCCTTTGCTCTTTTTACTCATATGCTGCCATGGGATCTTCAGGTAGAAAAGGTTTCAATAGGAAATGTCTGAAAATGGATAGTTCTTGTTTTGCTCAGAGAAAACTTCTAATCCGCAAAACTGCAAATAAAGTCACTACATCTGAAGATTAAAACTTGTGTTCTTGCCAGGTTTTGCCCTCATCTGTCAAATGACTAGGCTAAAGTAAACTTGAAATAGATTTTCATTTATTTTTCATCTTTGCTGTAATCCAAAGACTGCCCCGTTAAAAGCCTTTCGTAAATCATTTGGTCAGTTTTTCTCAACAAAACAGTCCTTAAGTAATGCTGTATATCAGCCTCTTTTGACATTTTCATTTTTTCATCTTGACATCTTCTCTTAAAAATAATACAGTGTTTGTCCTATTATCTTTTTTTCAAACTGTGAGGAGGGGGGAAGAAGTCATCAACTCTCTCACAATTGTAGTATGCGAATCAAAGATGCACAAGTTAGTCTGTGGTTTTCTGTCCAAGTTTTTCTTTCAGTCTTGCTGCCTGGTCTTGAGAAAACAGGTGTGGCAAGAAACTTGGATTGCTGCATCAAAACTGGCTGTTAGAAATCACTTTGCTTTTTCTCTAAGGTGAACATCCTCTATCAAATTCCTTCCCAAATGCAACAGGGGTTTAACTCTAATGTGACTGACATGAGAAAATGCCTCCGCTACAATCCACCACATCATTCTTGTTTGGCCTTTATAGGCCAAGAAAAAGTCAATTAGGTGATTCTATAGATGAAACAAGTGTAAAAAATACACTTCACCACTAAAGCAAGTAAACTAATTTTTCTTGCTAGTAGTGTGGGTAAAAGCTAGTTTGCTTGTAGAGGTGCATGCAGTTATTTCTTTGAGTAGAGTAGCAGAAGCTTTTTCTTTTTCTTAGTTGTCCATGCTTTTCAGTGATACAGTGTGATCTTTACAAACTCATTTTAATAGTAAATTATAATTTACTATTGGAGAGGAATTAGGAGATTTGTCAAAAGTGAAAATTCGGTGCTAAAGCAATATGTGCCTCTGCAGAAAGACATAAAGTTAGCATGGGTCACTATAAAGGGTGCTGTGCTGGTGTGTCCATGTGCCACTGGTACTGAGTACAGATGCAGTTGCTGAGGTGTTCTTCACCACAACATTAAATACAATGTCAGTGCAAATAATGTGTCAACCAGTATTCAGCAGAACCACATATTCAGTTGCTGTGGACCAATACGGTGTTTCTATGTTCAGTGAATACTGTTGATCAGTACAGCTGGTGATGCAGTCCCCATATACTTGCAGATGAACCTGACGAATCCTGTATGATTACATTGAACCTCAACGTTCTTCTTTTTTCCTTGTTTCATCTATATGGCAGGGAGCTTATTATCTGCAGTGTAGTTCTAGTCTTACATCTGTTTGAGTCTGCCATACTCTGTTCTGTGATCCCAAGGGCTGGTTTAAGAGTTCAGCTCTAGCAGAGGCAGTCAAATTCCTGAACCCTATTGTAGCCAGGAATCAACCTCCTCATATTTTCCTGCAGTTTGTATGTGCAGCTATGTTACGATTTTATTTAAGTTTTATTTGAGCACTTAATGGTGGTATGTTTGCTTGTAGACAACTTTGTATTCCAAACCACTTATCCTCCCAGTGCTGTTATAGGAAACTAAGAGAGATGTGTTTTGGATACACAAAAGCTTGCAGGCTTCTGTGCTCTATGTGAGAGTTTACCAAAGCTGACATCCTGAAGAGGTAAAAAACCCTCCCTGTTGCAACAAGCTGGTGGAAATACTTAGTAAGCTTGTGAAAGCAGGCATGCTGAAGCACTTTGTCCCAGAGGACAAGAGTACAGTGCTTGTGGGCATTAATAATTAAAGGCAGAAGGAGGGTGTCGTGGTGAGGAGAGCTGCTTGAAGGCACACATGAGGGAAGCAGGGCCTTTCTCCTGAGCTAGGTTTTGGTTTCTTGGTGGCTGTGCGAGTTCAGACACATGGGTCCATGGGGAGTTTCTGTTGCCATCAAATGCCTGGCTGTGATGGTGCCCACTCTGGCCTGCAGTTGGGGGCCTTTATCCATGGTGTGTGTGCTCTGGCCCCTCAAGGAAGGAGCACCCTTCCCTCCCTGCCGTTGCCACAATTTTTTTATTTTATTTTATTTTTCCCAAAGAAGCAACACAAAACTATGTAACATTTGTGTTATACAGGACAAAGCTGGAGGACAAAGAGGCCATGTAGATGTAGCTATGAGAGCACCCACAAAGGCAAACCTGGCAGACTCCAGAATGGGTCTCTTTGGTAACCTGGTAAATCATTAGGAATCCCTTCTAACATAGTTGTCATCACTGAAACAGCTGCAAACAAAGACATAAAAGCTTCTACTGAACTTAGGTGGATCAAGGAACAGGTCCAAATCCCTTTACACTGAAGGAGGACACCTGGCTTGTCTGTGTGCAGTTGGATTTTTTTGTACAACTAATTAGGAATAAAATGCAGTTATGGCGTCTGCGGGCAAGGACCTTCAGTGCACTGAAGAAGCCTCTCATAAAGTTTTCATATCTAAACAGACAGGATGGGAGGAAGTGTGGGTTCCCAAAAAAGGTTTCACACAACGCCTTTTCTCTGTCAGTAAAGTGAAATATAACTGCCATGCTAAAAGGTTTTGCAGCAGCAATTTGCTTTGAATTGCAAGCATAAGATAAATGTGCTATAGA